CTGCATAAAGCGGGACGTCAGAAAGAGGTGTCGACAAATTCCGGGGATTTTATATGATAAGGTGCCTATCACATTTTCAACTAACCTTCGCATATTTTTGCAATGCAATTCTGAAAAAGGGGCACGTTGTGTGATTCAGCATGGCTAGAAACCATCGCAGCACCAAACACTCTGCGTTCTTACGAAGAAAAATCAGAAAAGAATAAGAGCGAATAAGCTTCCACTCACATCATTCAGCATTGTTCTCCAACGTCATTTTGTTGTGTTTCGTTACACTGATTGTAAGCACAGCAACTGCAGTGTACACAACGTTCAGTAAACTGTAAAAAAAAGAGGGACCAACTTGGAAGCAGCTACGGTTTCCATTATTTTTCTAGATATTTTTGAATCCAACGAGATGTTCGGCTCGAAGTCCATTAACGCTTTGAAAGCCATTTACAAAAAATGTATGGATAAGGATGAATTGAACCGCATCGGTGCCAGACGAATGATAGAAGATATTAAGGTTGGAGATTTGCCACATATGTACTAGTCGCACTGAACAAACAGCTTTTAGAGCTTTGGTGTTTGGCCCATTCTTGAAGGAGATGAGAAGTGGCGAGTGAACAACTTCGACCTAACGTCATTGCTGATCCATGCGTCACAAACTCGTGGCGTCGATGTGTTCATCTCCTACTATATCACTCTCGACAACAAAAACGTTTCTCGCCGTCTCATCGAGGTTTGCAAAAGACTTTTCTTTTCTTTACTCACTGAGCGAGCATTAAATATTTATACCGTAACTCCAGCTTACTTTCCTGCATTCTTCGCAGAAATGCAAGTTTTTGCTTTCAATATGTTTGATCGCCTTAGTTTGCCATGGCGCGCGGTGCTTCAAACGTTCCGGTACGTTGAACCTAATAAGAGGAAACTGGTTTTATTTACAGTTTTCAAGATTTTGCTTCTTAAGCGTCACAAATTCGTGAAAAAGGGTTTCTTAATGGTATTCAAACGGTGGTGCACGTTCGCTAAAAATGATAAATGCAAAACTCTTTTTGGAAACCTCTACATTATTAAAAAAAACTTTATCTACGCGTTTAATTTAGATGCGTAAATTGAGCATGCTAAAATCACTGTAGTTTGTCTCATGTCTGTTATCGTCCGTTGTCTTCTATCAAACAACTAGGTGTTTGACGGTACAATGTTAAAAAAAGCTTTTCAAACCATCAATAAAGTTGTAGCAGTCAAAAAAAAAACAAATCATAAAAGGAGTTGCACACTTTTTCCCTCTGCCAAACATGCCGTGCACGGGCTGCAAGAATTAGGGGCAAGTTGAACTTTGAGCTAAAACAGCAGTACAGAACTGAGTTTGTGAGATTTCCCAGTCATGATAAACACGTAATTAACAATTTAATATTGCTTGATGAAGCAATTTTGTTTATTTTGTCAGATCGACAATCGTTTTAACTATAGATAGCAAAAACAAACTTTCACATCTTTCAAAGCGTTCTAAATAACGAAGGGATTTGAAGTTAGAGGTTTAAGCTCCACTCATCGTATCCAGAAAAAGCTAAGTTTAATTCGTACGTTCTCCATGTAAGTTAAGCAACAGAGTTTGGGAAGCTCTAGTATGTGCTGAAGGAGTGCGGAAAAAGCTGTAAAGTTTTTTGCTACGTATACCAGTAGAGCCATCAGTTAGCAATCGAAACTTCAGCTCAACACAAATCACTTCTGAAGCAGAACTTAAAAGTTCATAAAGGATGAGCTCTTTTACCGGTTCTAAGTTAAAGTAATAAAATTATGCACACTGAGCTTGTTTGAAGCTAACGTGACAAATGTATGTCACAGCTTGGTTTGAAGGTTTGACCGTCTTCATTGAAGAACATAACTCATGAATTTCACTGCTTTGAAATTCGATTAAACCTGGCATCTCCTACATCCCGCTCACTAAGAAAGTTGTTAATATAGTTCATTTGCAGTTTAGGAAATTTTCAGAAGTATTTAACGGGCTGTCTACAAATATATGAAGGTATCGAACATAACCTTTTCTTCTCCGATTTACCGATCAAACAGCAGCTTTCTTTGTATATCTCTAATTATAACATATTAGTTCTGAGGAAATTCGCTTGCCAGTCAACACTCGAACCCATATGCTAAACTTTTCTGCCGTCCCACGCTTTTTTTCCTTTGCTGAAAGGTCAGAAATGTACAAAAATAATGATTAGGAAGAAAATCAATGGAATAACTTACTCATAATATGTTTAAAGCAAGCGTTGCATCACACTTGGGCTTCCTACTTCAAATACTTGACGATTAGTGTCTACGACAATGTGCGTGTAGGAGGTGTGTAAAATTCACCTGATCACCAGAATTATAACTCTT